TTCAGCTTCAGACCTCAAAACATAAGTTTAAATGCAAATAAGTCTTTAAATACCTCAAATACACACGTTTTCAACAGCAGTACCTATACTAGATTAGCCTTTAGTAAAGGTAAAATAGCTCAATCACAACAGAAACAAAGCTCCACTCCAAAACCAACTTGGATTTAAACCTTTAAAAAGAGGGAAGGGAGTTGAATTCACTTGACCCAAATCGTCCATCCTGCTCTGGCTGAGCACAGAAACAGAATACTCTGAGAAAGACTGTATGTGTTTCCTGGACTTCAGCAAGACAAAATCTTACAAGGAGTCTTACTGAAGTTTCATGCTCATTCCCTAAATGAGGGAAAGGAACTTCAGAAAACTCTTCATCTACAACATGCTGGTGATTATTTCAATACTTAAACCTATGCAGACTGTATGCAGCTTTAGAAAATCTTACGCTTTTGCCAGGATTGTATAAAGTTCTTACCATATCAATTTTTCCAGAGGCACCACTTTGAGGAAGGGACAAATCCAGCTGAAGACTTAAAGGGTTCTCTTGCCATAAGTCAATGTGTATGCAGTAACTGATTTTCTGTGATGTCTACACAATGTTTTCAGCAGAAAACTGTCCCAAGTGATGTAGCATACTGTGACATCACATTCACTGACATCAGAACACACCAACACCTTTGCCAATACAAGTTATTTTGCCATGCACTGCACAGTTTCCTAACCTAGTACAGTCTTTCACCTGCATGAGAATATTCTTCAAAGCTCAAAGTAATTTAACTTCTGATGTGTGGACTTAAAGTGTACTTCCCTTTGATTTAACACATTGCTAGGTTGTTTGGGTAATGCTGCTTTAAATACTTCCTTAAAGTGAAATATATTTAACTGAGTCAGTAAATTTAATAAAATAAACTCACATATATTTTAGTAATCTTTTACTTTTCAATTTAAAACATTTTAAAATACTCTGAACCACAGTGTTAGACTATACACTGACTTACATGTTAAGATGCAATCAAAAGAATAATAATATTTAACCTTTGAGAGTACCTGTACAAATCCTACATTCATCTTTTATGAGTTAATTCTTCACAACATTATTTCACTAAAGCCCCTCTATCAGAAAACTTCTTAAGAGTTTATCAAGCTTGATACAACTCTAATTTATTTTGCTTCAGACATTATCATCTGAGTCAGCACCCCTGAAGCTCTTCTCCACACAAACTGTGGAGACCTTCTTACAGCTGTTTGCAAACACTCATGTTTCAGCATTCATAAACATACACCAGGGAGCTGTTCCTTGTGGTTATAAACCAGAACTCATTAATTCCCATAGGGGCAGGATCAAGGCCAAGATGGATTTCTCAGTACCTGACTCCTCACCTTGCTGCTTATTTCCCAGGAAAGAGAGATTTGCAGACTTGCACGGCAAGAACAGGGTTCTCCAATTTCTCTGAAGAGGTAAAAGGAAGGTTGCCACTCTCTTACAATAAACCTTCAGTTGGAAGAGATGTTTTTGTTAATACCACATTTACTGTGGAATTTCTTATAAGGGCTAAAGTTTGAGATCTTTGACAAGGAGGTCTTATTTTCCTTCTGCATACAACTGCTTCTGCATCTATTCTATGTAGGCATTGCACAGCCTGGCAAAAGACTTGTTCCACAGTAGTGCAAACATTGCTTAAGACAGCTGCACCTAAGCCACAGACTTATCGTCACAGGCTATGGCAAGATAAAAAGGTTCTGTGTCTGGTACATTGCATTTCAGCAACCAAAGCTGGAAAGGAAGGACAGTTTACATACTTCAGTGTGAGCAACATATACAGGCAGCTTCAGCACAGGGGAATAGCCCTCCCTCTTGCCTCAGGCTGCCTGTGCAGGTCTGGGTTCTGTGACACAGAGGCTAGGGACAGACCTCACAGAAGAGGTGAGGAGTACATCAGTACACAGCAAGCAAAAGATTGTCCTTCTGCATCAAGCATTGACCAGGTCCCAAATTGAGTACCGTTCAACCTACAGGAGAAATGTGTGGGAGAAGGGATTCTGTAGCAGAGAATGAGCAAAGCTATCTTAAAACCTTAAAACGTACTATGAACATTAATTTGCAAGTGCTCCTGACAGTGGTTCCTTTAATAGTTGATTCCTTTAAAGCAGGCACTACAGAGAAAACTAGTAGAAGTTACTACTTTTCCTTCATGTTTTTTCCAATAGCCTCTGCATCAACCTTTGATAAGCAAATCAATTTTTTCAAAAACTACTATGTTGCCTCAGCAGAGCAGCCCAGATATCTGTCTTCCATTGCTTGCAATTGCCACTAGAAACTCAGGAAGGACACAAATGCCTCAGCAGCGTCCTGGAGGGAGCTCAGCTTGTTCTCCTGCACTCTGGTCTCCCCTGCCTGGAACACCTAAATATTTTATCAGCAAAAGCCAAACATAATATAAGAAGTCTCACTTCTTGGCTGTGCAACAAGCATAGAACAGTAGACTTGATGGACATCTGGACACAGCTTCTAACAAACCATGAGCACAAGCTGGAGGTGCAGTTGCTGACAATGCTGCATGACCATACTTGGAAACAAATAGATTACAAAACAATTCACTTAGCAAACTTCATATTTAGGCCCAGAATATCACTTTTTTTCAAAGCAGTGCTAGAAATACTTAAAATATTTCAAGAGAGAGTTTTTATTTATTAACAAATAGTTGCAAAATGTTTGGCAAAAGGACTTCTGGAATCTTCTCATTTATAGGATTACATTGTTAAAGTTTTCCAGATGTAGCTTGGTTTAAAATAGACACATTTAAAGAATACCTTTTTGTTGTTGTTGTTGTTTCTACTTAACCTACAGAAATCCAGTGTGTGCAGCATGGCAATATTCATCTTGGATTCAATACCTTGAGTATAACTTTACAAATAGCAAAGGGAGAAAGCTTCAGTCCAATAAAATCAAAAGCTTCCAGTTGCATTATTACTTCTAAAGAGACAAACAGCACTTCACTTGTTTCACAGACACTAATGTAATTTCAGTATGTCTTTGATCTTGTCCAGACCAAGATAAAAGGCATCTTTAAAGTATTTTAATCCACTTTTAAGCAAAAAGGCATTTTTGTGCAACCTAGCTTTAAGTATCCAAGATAGCTGGCTAAGTAGGAGGAAAAGATCCTTCACTACCACCTCTGGAAGCTATCCTTACTGGGCTCAGAAGACAAAATATTTGTCTCCTCACTTAACTTGAACCCCCTCACTCCAACCCAGTCATAAAAGTATCCTGTGCAGTTAGGAGGGAAGTCCATTCAGAGAATGATTCCTCTTGTATTACGGACAGTACCCTTGAAATGATTTGCCATATCTACCCTTCAAATGACTAGTGAGGGGACAGAGCTCTAGGCAGCTTAAAGTAGGAGAGATTAATCCCACTGCATTGATTACACAGCAAGGATGAACAACCACCTAAAAAAAATACTTGGTTCTTAACTTTTTGGCAAGCAAATTCAATTCAGAATTAAGCAGCAGCCTTCAGTTAGATGCCTGACAAAAGTTGACTCCCCTCCAGCAGTTAACACTTGGCCAACAGGCATTTCAGGAGTTAGGCATTATGCCATGCCTTAGACAAGAAAACACAAGAGAAAAAGTAGCAGTAGTAGTAGCAGAGTCCAGTGTTCCAGTTCCTGGTAGAAGAATGCAGCTTTGAAAGAGCTATGGCGTAACCAAGTTCAGCTGTACTTCATCATGTGCAGTCAGATTTCCTAGTGGCACCTACACCTTCCATCACAACATGCAAGCATAACTTCTGAAAAGCCTTGAGAATACAGCCATTTGTTTTTGGAGTTAACAGGCATTTGACTCAAGCCAAACAAGCTGCAGGAGTTTCAAGAGTCTAGATCACCAAGCAGATGAAGAACAGCCTTCATCTATTCCACTATACACAAAAAAAATAAAAGCACTGTCCAGAGACAAAGCAAAACAGAATCCGAAATCTCTTGCTCTGTGTCCTCACCCAGAAAAATCTGGGCACCTGCATTTTAAGCAAATAGCATAGAACAGCTCATCCCAAAAGGCCCAACAGCAGTTTGGCACACTCTTGGGAATGGGAGTTAATATTCCTCCACCAAGAGGTAAGGTGACTTCATCCAAACACGCTAGGTGAATGCTGCAGGTCTCTTGGATAAAAGAGGGAATGACACTGCTTCCTCCTCTACTCCCCATTTCATAAGCCTAACCTTAGAGCTGTATTTCTTTTCCAGGATGACATTTCATCCTTATTACTATTCTATTGTTAAAGGAATTCATTCTGAAAATACTCTACCCATGCAGTAACCTGACTGAGAACAGTCACATCTTCTGGAGATGGAAGAGGAAGAACTGCTGTCCCTTAATGCAACATAATCAGATCATTTTGTAGTTCATATTTATGTCAAGAGATAAGAAAAGTTATTCTCACCCAAAAGCACTTACTGAAAATTTAGCCACACATAGGCTTATGTGGTACCAAACAAATGTAATACAAAGTTCCTATGTCAAATCTGCCAGAATGCAGTTTATCACAATAGCAGAAGCTATCTTATTGCCTACAGCAAAAGCCTTTCCTCTCTTCCAGCCATGAAAACATCAAGTGCCTCCCCCTATTTTAAACTGTGTAAAAATCTCTCTCCTCAAAGATGAAGCCATATCAGGCTTCAACATCTTTTACGAGGGTTTAGGAGGGAAAAACCCACTCCACATTACATTTCCAACTTTCCTCTGAATTATTCTAGGTATAGCACTACATGACAGTTATGGCAATATTGCATTTGGAAGCTTTCCAGAAATATGTACGAATACCAGGCTCTTTTCATAATGCATTCAAGTAAATAACATTATGTTAGTCACACAATGAATTATGTTCTGAAGCATGCAGAAGAAAACATGCCCATACAACACCTCAACTGTATAAAATCAAACGGTGCTTTAACCTGCTTCCAAGCCTCAAAAATTCAGACAGCCTATTATTCTTATATTGATCTCACCGTTTTCCGCACTGCCATAAACGCAGCTGTGAGACTAGTAATTTGCTGATTCAGGCACTGGTTCTCCCATTGTACTTGTTCCAGCATGACTTGGTCAGCATGTAATCTCATTTGTAGCTTCTGAAACTGCAATAAATAACAAACATATATACATATGTGAGGGACTTGTCAAGCAATGTAAGCTGTATAATTATCAAAGTGGAAATAAAACACCATCATTGATTATATGATGAACTACACCTCAGCTGGCAAATTCCAAACACACAGCATGATGGGAGAGAAGTAGCAGTTCCAAATTTCTCTGTATTAGCAATGACTGTGGGAGACAAAATACTCATTAAGAACAAGCCTGGGAAGCATTTAGGGAGTAATACATGAGCATGCATATTTGTTTGGATTTACCTTAACACTGTAGAGCATTTAATCAGAAATGCGTTCTTCCACCAATTTGATTCTCCTAAAAGATCTTTTAACCACACAGCATTAGTACTATTCCATTTATAATAAGTAAGGCTTTTACCCATGTAACATTTATTTTCATTTCATTTCTTTCAATGTTTTCCCATAAACACAAGATTTAAACTGATTAGTGAGCTGTACAATTAGTAAAGCAACAATGAGTATCAATTATGATGGGTTTAATTTTCCACTGTATACAAAGAGTAACTACATCTGCAAGTCTCAAGGAGTTATTCTCATCAGCTATTTTTGCTTCCATTTTCTTTGATGTTGTCCTTAAAATAGAATAAAGTAAGCAAGATATGAAACAAATCCCTGAGCTGATATGGAGCATAAGTACAAAAGCCATCCAAGGAATGGATGCAGAGGTCGACTGAAAAAGTAAGTGCCAGGTGAAAGAGAAACAGTCCACAGCAAATCCTTCAGAGGTAAATGGGAACCCAAGCAGAATTCAATTTTCAGTTCAAGTCAGCAGTACTGCTGGGGAATGGCCTGGGATAGTTGTCTGCTACCCATATTTGAGACTGTAAGGATTAATTGTAAGGCTTTTTTTCCAGCTATAAGTGTATGGCTACATAAACAATTTGGAAAAAGCACAAATAGGACTAACCAAAACCATGATAGCCAATACACCACTCTATACATTAAAAAATTTGCTCAATTCAGTATTGCTAACTTATGTAGGTATATAAGAAAAATGATATTTCAGTAATATGCTGCTTTAATGTATTTTAGTTTTTTTGTTTGTTTTAAATCAGTCATCATTACACAATTTGAATAAAGTCTATTTTGGACTTAAGAACAGTATACTAAGGAAGCACAGTAGGCCAGCCTTTACCTATTGCTCTTAATTGGTTAGGCATTACACCCCAGAAACCTTGAAGTCTGAACAAACGTCTATGCTACTTTTAGATTTATAAAACATCCAGACCTTAAAAACCTGAGTTTAGCTCACAGCTCAGAAGCTGAGATACTGTACTGGACCTCTCCCCTGCCTTGAATTTCAAACCTTGTTTGCATTTCTGCTAGCATGCTCAACTATTATGTTGAGTGTCTTATTTCTCAGGTAATGAATGAGCCTAAAGTGACAGGAACACAACTGATTGGGAGGTCTTGAAGCTCTACCTGAAAGGAAGCAGGACCTGCAAAGCCCTTCCTTGATCAGTGATGTGCAGGATATCACAAGGTGCAGGCACTCAAGATGGATTCAAGAATTCAGAGAACACATTCAAAAAGTTTTAGCAATTTCAGCTGCCCCACTGTCAAACTTTATCCAGAATAAAAACTTTCTTGTTAAGTCTCTAGTTTCCCTAACCCTCCTCAGTTCATTTTACAATATTCCATAGTTTGATTAGGTTTTGAAATCATTTCAGCAGGAGAGAAATAAGATGAACACTATCCATTAGCTTGTTTTATGACAACATAGCTGCCTGGCTATAGCAGTTTTGTCACCGTGTTGCTTACTCTAGTTGGACACTGTCCCAAGAAATAGTGGACTGAGTGTTAGTGTTGTCAATAAAAGTACAAGTGTTGGTTTTGTCTTCATATGAAAACATTTGACTTCAAAAATCAAAGCATCAGCTGACAAAGCCAGGCGGCAGTAAACTTCAGGTGTTTAATTCTTCAAATTTAAGTTCTCAGATCTGAAGTTTCAGACAATCGGAAGTGCCATTGTGAACTCCAAAAACTTAGGTTTTGCTCCAATCTGTAGGAGAAAAAACATTGTATGGAAAATAGGGTATGGAAAACAGGTGTGCCACCACAGTGCTAGAGCCACAGCACCTTTTAAATGCTTGAGGAACATCAGTCCAACAGCTCCAAAAGCATTCAGGATCAAATTATGTCCAGCTTCTCTCTAGAAGGTACCTCTTCTGGAGGTATGGATAATACCAGGCCCAATTCTCAACTAATCTATAATCCCAACAAAATTTTTTGCTCCTTTCTACCCACAAGAAAACAGATGATGTGGAAAAAGGGTGCCAAGGGGACAAGCAGAGCACTATAGCTCAATATATAGCATAGTGATTTACTTCCAAAGACCCACAGGCACAGAAGGAAGAGTAATCAGCTTTGAAAGTACTCTTTGATATGCTACAAACCATCCAGGATCATGACTGTCTCCAGATACAGGGAGAAAAGTCAGCTTGACACCACATTTTGTCCTCTCAGCTCTCACTTCCCATTTTGTGACAGGAAATAAATAACTGAAATTAGGACCAGAGCCTCCAGAAGGACAAAAAATATGCAGTCTTCATATGAACAGCAAGTACACTGGAAATGTCCACTACCAATGAGCTGTTGATCCCAGTAAGACCTAGACTTGTATTAAAACAATACACAAGCACTTAATGAATTAAAGAATAGTAAGGGATTTAGTCAGAGCAGCATTTGTCAGGACCCTAAAGTGTGCACACAAAAAATATCAACAGGGCTGACTTCAAATCAAATGCAGTATACTTTAGAGGGAGCATAAGAGGCCTGGAGATTACAGCAGTGAGTGAACAGCCTGACTTGAAGCCCTCACACCCACTGTCCTTGTCAGTTCAAGCCACTCCAGGCTGCATGTGCCAGCAGCACCATAGGATCACTAGAGCATGCAATAGGCTATGCCTTGGTTTAGCCATTTGAACAGCAGGAACATTGTTAACTCTCTCAGAGAGGTTGGCCACGGCAACTACAGTGCTTGCACACCACCTTCATCCTTTGATTGAAAAATACAGGGAAAAGTATGACTATTCTTCAGTGTTGCATCCAATCAAGTATTGCAAAGCTTAAAGTTAAGATATTTTAAAAAAAGGCATCTACAGAACAATTTTCTCTCCATGAAAAATAAAATATCATTTCTCACTGATTTTAATTTACTAAAGTCTTTTCAAGTCATGCATCCTGGTCAAAATTTAAGATTCTTTCTGTCTAAAAGACGTCATTTACTGAACTTTATATGAGCAGAAGAATGCTGTTACTGACTGATTCAGAAGACTGTTTATTAGTGTCTAAAATGTTAGTATCCTGAATTTATTGTGGTATTTTTTGCCATCTAGGACAAAAATGCTAATTTATAACAACAGGACAGTCTTACACTACTGCTTAAAAAAAATATATTATTCCTCCAGTGGGGGAATCATTTACAAGATGCACAGTGCCATTGATGTTAGACTCTAGTCTCCCTACATTTTAACTGCCTCAGCCATGCCATGACCTGTTATTGTGTTACCTTTGGCTGCACTGTGTGATGTAAACCCTTTGTATGTGAGGAACGTCACTAACAGTAACAAAACAATCCACTAAAAAAAAATATATAGCTAAAAGCAGAAGTTTGAAAACAGAGCAAAAGCAAGCTAGAATGCATCGGGTTTTTGTTGTTGTTGTTCTTGTTGTTTGTTTGTTTTCATATATTACTGACTTTTCTCAATCCTGCAAGTCAAATTTAATCCTATTCACCAGAGTTGCACTCAGACTTAGCACACACTATCAAACTTAATATATACATACAACTTGAGGACTGAGAAGGCTAATTCTTTCAAACCCGAGGTGATCCCCAGTTGTTACTTATTATAATTTAAAATGGGATCCCACAGATTCCACTTGAGAAAATGTCCCAATTCTTTATATCAGCCAAGGAACATTCAATAGAAGACCAATCAAGACATGAGCTCTATTTATGTAAGGCTTTCGATTACGGAATCTAGCTGAGCTCTATTTTGGTCCCCATTAGTAGTTAGGGCAACTGACAGGCCCCAAACATCCCTGAAGGTGCTAAAAAACCCAAGAAGCAGATGCTAATGCTACAGCTTTCACTGGGTGCATCCCTGATGACAGTCTAAAAAAGTGAATGGTATGAGAGTTACAATAGTACCCTTACCAGAATAAAGATCTTCCAATTCTAGGAGATACCCTCCAGTGATTACTTGTACCTCTGTAAAGCTATTTTGAACTTCCAGAGTGCTTAAAAACAGCTTTAATATACTGGTGAATCAGACCAAGAAGCTATTTAGCTGCAGGGACTACTGGAAAGCACATATAAATGATCTTTTCCCAGGGAAACACACTCTCAGATTCTCCATTTTCCCCACACACAGGGGGATGTTTTCAATAGTCTCTTGGTGGTTATTACATGAAAAGCTCCTGAGCACTGTCAGGCACTGTTTGAAACAAGCATAAAGGAAGTAAGACAGATTGCTATACAAAGTACTAATCTGTAGTAAGACCTGTGGCTGAGCTACAAGCTATAGCCAAGACCACTATACTATGTTTCAATCCAGTCCCATTACAGCATAGGAGCTGGAGAGAAATGGCAGAGCTGCTGACCCAGTCTTGGGTTAGAGACCCCACAGTTGTTCCTACTCCACTTGTTCCTAAAGCAAAGCCAATTTCATGTTGACAACATTAGCTTGCTGCTATGGAAGCAACACAACTCCACAACTGACGATATGCAGAGAACATCAAGCACTTCGAAGAGTGACCCTTACTAAGGGTTTATAGACTGAAGAGCTCACACCCTGGGAACCTTCCCCATGTCCCCAAAAATACTCAGCCATCCTTAACTCATGGTAAGTTACTTGGAGGGCTAGTTAACTGATTTCAGGAATACTGTGGTACTTGGCACCACAGTAGAGAGGGGCTCAGTGGAATGGGGAGCAATACATGTACTGTAGAGGCATTCACGG